TTCACTTAGTGGTAAATAAAACTTTTACAAAAAACCACTACTGTCCTAGCTAAGAAAAGACCAAAAGAGAAACAACTGTATACAAAACACAACATACAAAACTAAAGACTGACCAACACAAACCCCACAAAAAACTGGGGGGGATGTCAGGTGGTCTGGAAGGGTAAGCAGATCCTGCTCCACATGTGGCACCCATCGTGTTGCTTATATAAGTACAAACCCGGTGATAAGCCTAATTCAGTAGGTCACATTTGAGGAAAAGGATGACAGGATTCTGGTGATGATTGGAACATATCTGTCGTCATCTGTAAAACAATATTCTATAATCATTATGGTCAACTAACTTGTGATGGCGTCCGTAAAATTTTTTCGAAGGGGTAATTTCAACTTCGCCACTTGGATCTCTTGGATTAATAGCTTCCTTGTGAGCAGCAACCCTCTATCAAGGAAACACAAGCCCTGGAATATCGTATCAACTGGGAGATATATATATATATATTTGCAGGCGCTGCTGGAATGTTGCTACATAGAAATGTAAAGTTCACAAGCTGAAATCCTCTCTTTTGTCGTAAAGCTTTGTTCTCAACCTACTCGCATCGTCAATTTCTAGATGTAAGTCGAGATATGAGGTAAACTTAACTGTGTTGAATCCTTTATTTCAAGTTTGATGGGAGAGATGCGTTCAACAGTCACCAAACTTTTAATGGTAGCTTCTTTTCATTCTTCCTAAGAAACCCCAGTACGAAGTCAGACTATTATGAATAAAGGAACAAGTCGGCATGGAGAGGAGCACAGTTGATTTTCATGGGAATGCAATTGTTTGGTGAAAAAACATGTCTTTCAAACGTAACAAATATGTTGTCAATCAGGAAATCAAGCATCTTGATTATGTCAGTACCATAGAATTTTTTATTTAAATCAGAGTTATTTTTTGTGATATAAGATTTATCGCTCGCTAAGAAAAGATACTTGTTTCTACGTTGACCATTCTTTTTTATTTTAACAAAGCAGGACATACTCTTTCAATTTGTCTTATAGTTTGGCATGGCGAATACTCATGTAAATGGTTGAAAAGTCAAATGTTTTAAGACTATTGCAAGAGGAAATAGACCTGGATTGTATGTACTCTAACAGATCAGTTATTTTAAATGTTATGTGCAAAGAACTAAATATTCATAGAACTTCTTTGTGAAAAAAAAAAAAATTTTTACCTCTAAAAGCGGCATCACAATTGGCTTTTAGAGGTATGCTAAATTACGAAAAAAACGGGAATACTTATGTAAAGGGTCGAAAAGTCAAATGTTTTAATACTATTGCAAGAGGAAATAGACCTGGATTGTATGTACTCTAACAGATCTTTGGAATTTTTAAGTATCCGCATCTGATTCACGCCGCCCCTAGAGGAGGTAGCTTAACAATAACAATGAAGCTCGGCTTTGATTGCTGATAAAATTGATGATAACAATTTAGAAAGAAGTTTCGCGGAGCACTTGGAAGACCCCACAATAACGTTGTTTGAAAGGACACTTGTGTAATTTAGGTATCCAATACATTGAAGGAAGATCCAGTTTTTCATCTTTGGTTGAATTTTCAAAGAAACATACTAGACCTACGGCCATTCAGTATTACTTGTATGTGCCGTGGGGGTATATATGTTGAGTTTCCAAGTGGGCCAATATCCATAATTCACCTCAAATTGAGGAACTTCAAAAATGTTACGTAAAACAAATCTGTGCAGTGATAAACTAATATTGGACATGTTTCAGTTTTTAGAATGACCGAGCTTATAACCATCTGTGCTGATTTGAAGAGCAGAGAGTATCATAGAAGAAAGATGTAAAAATTATGGAGTTATTTTAGATGTAATATGCATAGAACTAAATATTCATTGAACTTCTTTGTGGAAAACAAAGGATTTTTTTACCTCTAGAAGCGGCATCACAATTGGCTTTTAGAGGTATGCTAAATTACGAAAAAAACGAGTCTCACATCATACCCCGAAAATTTAGCCACATTTGTGAAAATCTCCCAGCTTCGAAACGAACCATCATGCATATCCAAGTTTACGATATGGACCGAGGAATTGAGAGAAAAGCTAACCTAACCACCTACCTGAAATGAATTGCACATCTTGACAAAAGTGAATTGTCCGGATTAGTTCGATTGCATATAAATGGGGAGCTTATTTCAGTAATATGCTTAGAAAAAACATTCAAACTAAGGAATACTCATTCCTCATGCATAACTCTCTGATTCCATGTCTAGGTTTATCTATATCTTTGGTCCATTTTGGTTTTTATCAGTTATTCAACGTTTGTATTAGTGTTTGTATTTTCTGATATTCTGGCTTCGAGCATCACTGATAATACATTATTTGTAGAAATGCGCATATGGTGCAGTAAAATTGGTACCGTTTACAGTGTTATCACAGTATCATTCAGGTGGCAAAAGGCCATACTTGTATCAATGCCAAATAGATCGAATTGATGAAACCCTGTTAGAAAAAAAAATACAATTGTATCATCTTCTCTGAAAGTTCTTGCTCAATTCCTACTATTAAACAAGAATGATATAAGAAAGATTATTTAAAATGGTTATCATTTGTTTAGATAGAAAAACACATGACTGTCTGAGGCAATCTCTTATTGACTGCAAAATTATGAAAAAAAATCTCCTCTCTAGCTGTAAAAATGTTCACAAAACTTGACACAATTTACGATCGAAAGACTACAAATAACCCTTTTGTAACTTTGATCAGGTGGCAAACATGTCGGCAATAGTTACACATTTTTCCCATATAAACTTTATCGGAAATCTATGAAACGATAGAACTGAACTTCACATGCATATTGTTTAGTAGATCGTCTACAAAGTCCTGAATTGGGACTGATAGGATGAAAAATATGACCGTCTGCGGCATTGTTTCATTTTAACAGTCAAATAATCAACTAACTTTGCCTATGGAACAAAAAGGAAAAATATTAAGAAACTATAAGGGGCTTAGGGAATAACCAAAGCTGGAAAGATTTTGTATGAATGATTCTCTGCATTGAAATCGGTTTTGATGAGATAAAAATGGCTTTGGGCATCATTTGATTATTATTGAAAAGTTTTCCAAACATTTTGTTTCCTAAGCTACCAAATGTTTCGAAAAGTACTGAAAGGAAATTTGACAACTTTATAAACAATCATCATGTTTTAATGACAATTATTGTAACAATTGTCACAAGTATAATTACCATTCAAACTGCTTGGTGTTTTTGTGAACAAAACCTGCTAATTTATTCTCATATATTTTGTTTTGTCCGTCATCCCATTGTTTGAATGGTTAAAAAGTGTTCAACTTTCTTTTGTCAACGGAAGATAAAAAAAATGTTTCCAACAGTCTTTATAAAAAAGAGAAAAAATACCAAGAGGAATTGAGAGAAAAGCTAAGCTAACCACCTACCTGAAATGAATTGCACATCTTGACAAAAGTGAATTGTCCGGATTAGTTCGATTGCATATAAATGGGGAGCTTATTTCAGTAATATGCTTAGAAAAAACATTCAAACTAAGGAATACTCATTCCTCATGCATAACTCTCTGATTCCATGTCTAGGTTTATCTATATCTTTGGTCCATTTTGGTTTTTATCAGTTATTCAACGTTTGTATTAGTGTTTGTATTTTCTGATATTCTGGCTTCGAGCATCACTGATAATACATTATTTGTAGAAATGCACATATGGTGCAGTAAAATTGGTACCGTTTACAGTGTTATCACAGTATCATTCAGGTGGCAAAAGGCCATACTTGTATCAATGCCAAATAGATCGAATTGATGAAACCCTGTTAGAAAAGAAAATACAATTGTATCATCTTCTCTGAAAGTTCTTGCTCAATTCCTACTATTAAACAAGAATGATATAAGAAAGATTATTTAAAATGGTTATAATTTGTTTAGATAGAAAAACACATGACTGTCTGAGGCAATCTCTTATTGACTGCAAAATTATGAAAAAAAATCTCCTCTCTAGCTTTAAAAATGTTCACAAAACTTGACACAATTTACGATCGAAAGACTACAAATAACCCTTTTGTAACTTTGATCAGGTGGCAAACATGTCGGCAATAGTTACACATTTTTCCCATATAAACTTTATCGGAAATCTATGAAACGATAGAACTGAACTTCACATGCATATTGTTTAGTAGATCGTCTACAAAGTCCTGAATTGGGACTGATAGGATGAAAAATATGACCGTCTGCGGCATTGTTTCATTTTAACAGTCAAATAATCAACTAACTTTGCCTATGGAACAAAAAGGAAAAATATTAAGAAACTATAAGGGTCTTAGGGAATAACCAAAGCTGGAAAGATTTTGTATGAATGATTCTCTGCATTGAAATCGATTTTGATGAGATAAAAATGGCTTTGGGCATCATTTGATTATTATTGAAAAGTTTTCCAAACATTTTGTTTCCTAAGCTACCAAATGTTTCGAAAAGTACTGAAAGGAAATTTGACAACTTTATAAACAATCATCATGTTTTAATGACAATTATTGTAACAATTGTCACAAGTATAATTACCATTCAAACTGCTTGGTGTTTTTGTGAACAAAACCTGCTAATTTATTCTCATATATTTTGTTTTGTCCGTCATCCCATTGTTTGAATGGTTAAAAAGTGTTCAACTTTCTTTTGTCAACGGAAGATAAAAAAAATGTTTCCAACAGTCTTTATAAAAAAGAGAAAAAATACCAAGAGGTCAATCAAAACCATAAGTCGAGGAAAGAACATCTATGCAATGTCTGGCACATGTTGTTCACCAGAAATTAAGTTCAGAAGTAACTTCCGCTTAACAAGTTTTTAGCAGTTTAAATGCTATAAGGTTGTGTTTTTTTTTAAATTTTTGAAATGCTTTGAGATCTTTTTCAATATCATGATGGAAGATATATTCACATTTAAACATTTTTTAATAACAAAACATACATAATATGTATTCTTAAACAAATATATTCACAATTTAACATCAAAGGAATAAACATTTACGGTAAGCATGTGGAATAACGTATTATTTGTATACACTTGAATGATAACTTATCTTTCTTGCTTTCATTTGGTCAACTAAATGAACCGGTGAGCTATTGTGTTCATGCTGCAAGAACGATTGAGAAGTTGTTGATTGTGTAAAACCAGTATCTCTTTGAACTTGAGGAATCAATGAAGCTCTATTTCCTTCTTGCAGTGAATAATGAATTGGTGTCGTTGTCGGCACAGTAGGAGGAAATGGTCGAGTTGAATGACTGACCTTAACAGACTGAGGATTATTTACTAATCCAGCATGCATTGTGTATTGACCTGTCCTGTCTCTGTACACATGTTTGTTGTTCAAAGAGTAATTCATTGTCTCTCCCGATATTCGTCTACTTTCTTGGAAATTCTGTATGAAAAAAAATATTTGTCAACATAATATGCGTTTAAAATAAATCGTAAATGCAATTCGAAAACTTATAACTACTGATTAATCGTCGCAAACATCATGTACATATTACAATTACTAAAATGTTAACACAGAGATCTGACTCGCCTTTCTGATATTTTGATAGTATAATGCAAATGTTGGAATTAAAATAGCAATGCTTTAACATGTAAGTTATGCAAAATATTCAAAGTCAATAAACCATGACTGACGGTACAGGGCCAAAACAACATGGAAATGAGATGCGCCAATGCTTATACATATGTATAACAAATATCATTGACCTACCACAGACGGTTCTCCATAAACTGACCTAATCTTAAACTAATGCATGTAAACTGAGTGAAAGTTTCAAAGTCAATAGACCATATCTGAGATGGCGAGACCAAACAAGTTCCATTGAAAAGAGATGTGCCCATGCTAGTACAACTGCATACCAAATATCATTGACCTAGCGCTAGTGGTTCCCCATAAACTGACATAATCACACACTAATACACGGAAGGCACTGACTACAATTACCCCAAAAAAGTAACAATAAGAAATAATTATTGTTACTTTCGATACTAATTGCCGAAATGTATTTCTGGGCAGTGACACGATTTCATACGGAAATTAAAGGTTACAATAATATCGTTTTTAATTATTACCTGCAGCTATTGTTACCTTTACAATTTCACATAAATGTTGCAAATTATGTCTTTTGTATGTAGCATCGGGATACTTTGTACTGTCTTCGTGTCATTGCCCCGTTTACGTTGTGTTACATATATATGAATAAAAAACTATTTCATTGAACATAGCAATGATAATTTAAAGCACATTTATACATATTTAGAATTCTTTTAGCTATTTATTTTTGGTGGCACTTCCTGCACATCCAGTATGTAACCTTAGGTAGCATTTCGAGGCCAACACATTTCAGGTGGTACTACTCCAGGTACCTGTCTCAAACTATAAATCTATTAATTGCACGTCTATATCGCACTCTAAATAGTTCCACTCTGCTACATCCTTCTTCAGTGATAACTTGTTTTTACAAGAACTTCTATATAACTGCACAAAATGTGCATCTTGGATCCGTTGAATTTTATCGTTAAAATCTTGAATGGATATAACCGTTTCACCGAGCACAAATTGGACATCTTGCCCATTCGTATCTATACTTGAGAATAGTAAGTTTTTTCAATTGACCCCTATGACTAAAGTGAACGTCAAATTGGTCGATTTATCTGGAGGATTATTCATGTAATAGTATTGTTTAAATTGATTTAACAGATTGTTCGCAAATCAAACAATTTTTTATTTAGATCAGTGCCTTCCTGATTATATCAACAATAACTGCAGGTAACAATAAAACATGATATAATTGTTACCTGCAATTTCGGTATGAAATTGGGTCCCTGTCCGGAAATACATTTCGACAGTTAGTCTCGGAAGTAACAATAATTATATCTTATTGTTACTTTTTACGGGTAATCGTAGCATGTGGCTACATGTAAACTAAGCAAACGCATGAGTTAGGAGGCGGGACCAAATAATCTCATTGACCTATCGCTAGTGGTTCCCAATAAACTGATCTAATCACAAACAAATACATGGCAACTAAGCAAAAGTTTCAAAGTCAATCGACCATGACTGAGGAGGCGAGGGGAAATAATATTCATGGAAATGAGATGTGCCAATGCTAATAAGACTGCATACCAAATATCATTGACCTACCACTAGTGGTTCCAATAAACTGACCTAATCACTAACTAATACAATGTTGACGCCGCCGCCGACGCCGGAAACAGCATACTTATCTTTCGCTTTTTGACTCCATCAAGGCGAGGAAAAAACTGTGTACATTGCATTGAAATGTTTTACTTAGAACTTTTGAAAACATACCTAGAATTTGTTAAAAATTCAACTTAAAATTCAACATACATGGTAATTGAAGATCCAAGGTTAAAAATCAAACACACTTTGAGTTTTATTTGTCAATTTGGGGACTTTTGCGTTTATCAAGTCAATGTGCCGAACTGCTTATATCGTTTAGTTACATTTTAGCTCAAAAGACGCATGTGTCAACGAGGTGTATATATTCTAGTTTATGTTTTTTATAAAAAAAATTTATTTGCCTTTAAAATAAGTGGTTTAGCAATAAATTTGGAAATACAATTATGAAGGGAGCTCTTTAAATTTCTTAATTAAATTCGGTTTGGATGAGAGAGATTTCTTCGGTTACATAATGTTTCGGAAAGTACTGCATGGACATTTGGATGACTTTAAAGACATCCTCATGTTTCAATGACAAGAGATAAATATAATTACAGTGGTCACAGATAGCAGCCATTCAAACTGCTTGGCCTAAACTAAATCTCCTGCTACTTTATGTATAGTATACTGTGGATTCCTTTATATTTCGTGGATTCTTTTATTTTTCGTGGATACCTCTATTCATTCACATAGAAAATTGCAGTTTCGCGGATATTTGACTTCATGGTTTTGCCACAATCTGCATACACACCTGCAGTAAATTTATACTTTGTTGAACATACATATTCGTGGTTTATCTATAACCACAAAATCAACGAAAACTGGTATCCCACGAATAATAATGATGAATCCAGAGTGTTTGTTTATATGTTTGCATTGTGTCTGAATTTAATATTGAGGAAATCAATGAAGGTGTTTGTTAGTTGCGAGATATTTTTTGAGAATTTGTTGATTTTGTCGATATAACCCGATAGATGTGCCCCTCGGTGCATACATGTGCAGTGCTCGACATCTAGCAAAGAATTCTTCTACAACCGGCGATAAGGTCATCTTGAATTTGCAGTGAGGTGCATGATTTTGCTCCATATTTGAAGGCCTCTCTGTAACACTGTCATTAAAGAACAGAAAAAACAGTAATGTGCCCGCTTCTATTGTTTCTTGTGGGCAAAGTGATTTCATGTCAAAAAGGATAAACTATATCCGTTCCTTTCCAACTGAAAAGGACAATGCCTGTATAGTTTTAGATGAATTATGCCAGATGGTGAATCTGCAACTGAATTTGTAAATGATTATCTTCCTTCGAGAAACCGAGTGGTGTATTTGACAGATGAACCATTCAGGCTCTTAGGAGTGTGAGCTAAACCGTTTGGGTTGTTTTAACATTGAGTACAAATCAGAATGAACACTCTACTGCTGATATAATTGTTTTAATTCCATTAGATTTTAGTCTCCTTGACAAAAATAATGGCAAATGTGATATTAAAAATTACCTCTTACTAGATAACACAATATTTTTGTGTTAAATGACATGTAAATAAATTAAATTCTCGCACAGCGATCCCGTCTGACAGAACATATAACACACATTCGTCAGGATATATTTAGATCTAATTGTATGTGAATATAATCGTCTTACATTGTGGGTATTCTACTCATTAGATTTTAGCAAATATAGATATTGATATGTAAACATAAGTTATAAAATGAGTAACATGACAGTAAAAAAGAAATCACCTTTAAACAGAAGAAGCAGATAGGAATTGAAAGTCCTCAAATATTGCATTAAATAGGAGATATATACTGAACTTTTTTATATCGACCGTTCTTTTTATGACATAAAGTCGGACTAATTCCTTTAATTGGTGATTAAGTTTAGATTGTAGAATAATGGTATCAAAGGAAAAACAGTCAGATATGGTCACTTTGCACGAGGATACGATACTAAATTGCATGTACTTTATTTTTTTAATGTTTTTCAATCCACACCCGTTTCATACCAGGCCATACATACAAAAGAGATATACGTAAATATAGTAGATTCAACTTCTGGTTTCAATTATTGGTATACCTAAAGAAATTTCTTTTAATATTACTGATGCATGGTAAATTCACACTGAAATTTGTTTTGATAAAATAAATAAGTATTCTCTAACAATTTTTCACAAGCAAACATAGAAGGAATAACCATTTAAGGTAAGAATATAGAATAGCGTATCATTTGTAAACACTTGGATTATAACTTATCTTAATGACTTACATCTAGAAATTGACAATGATGGTCGGTTGAAAACAAACTATACGACAAAAGAGATGAAACTGGATCTTTCTTCAATGTATTGGATACCTAAATTACATAAGTGTCCTTAAAACAATGTTATATTGTGGGGTCTTCCAATTGCTCCACCAAACTTCTTTCTAAATTGTTAACATGATTTTATCAGCAATCAAAGCAGGGATTCATTGTAAATGTGAAGTTACCTCCTCTAGGGGCGACGTGAATCAGATGTGGAGACTTAAAAATTCCAAAGATCTGTTAGAGTACATACAATCCAGGTCTATTTCCTCTTGCAATAGTATTAAAACATTTGACTTTTCGACCCTTTACATAAGTATATCCCATGCCAAACTATAAGACAAATTGAAAGAGTATGTCCTGCTTTGATTAATAAAAAAGAATGGCCAACGTAGAAACAAGTATCCTTTCTTAGCGAGGGATAAATCTTACATCACAAAAAATAACTCTGATTTAAACAAAAAATTCTATGGTACTGACATAATCAAGATGCTTGATTTCTTGATTGACAACATATTTGTTACGTTTGAAAGACGTGTTTTTCAACAAACAATTGCGTTCCCGTGAAAACCAACCTCTCCATGCCGACTTGTTCCTTTGTTCATAATAGTCTGACTTCGTACTGGAGTTTCTTAGCAAGAATGAAAAGAAGCTACCATTAAAAGTTTGGTGACTATGTTGAACGCATCTTTCCAATCAAACTTGAATTAAGGATTCAACACAGTTAAGTTTACCTCATATCTCGAAATTGACAATGCGAGTAGGTTGAGAACAAAGCTTTACGACAAAAGAGAGAATTTCAGTTTCCCAATTGTGAACTTTCCATTTCTATGTAGCAACATTCCAGCAGCGCCTGCATACGGAGTATATATCTCCCAGTTGATACGATATTCCAGAGATTGTATTTCCTATCATGATTTCCTCGATAGAGGGTTGCTGCTCACATTGAAGCTATCAAACCGAGAGTGTTGAAGTTGAAATCGTCCCTTCGTAAATTTTACGGACGCCATTACGAGTTGGTTGACCGTAATGGAGTATCCGTTTCACAGATGACAACGGATATGTTCCAATTGTCTTAGCTACAATCCCGTCCCTTTTTCCCCGAATGTGGCCTAACAAATTATCAGCGAGTTTGTACTAACATGAGCAACAAGACGGGTGCCATATATAGAGCAGGATCTGCTTACCCTTCCGGAGCACGTGAAATCATCCCAGTTTTTGCTGGGTTCGAGTTGCACAATCTTTGATTTTCTATGTTGAGTTATGTGTACTGTCGTTTGTCATTTTGTCGTTTTCCTTTTTAGCCATAGCGTTGTCAGTTTATTTTCGACTTATGAGTTTGAATGTCCCTTTGGTATCCTTCGCCTCTCTTTTATCTTTCTAACTTTTTTTTTGGTCAAGTAAATGTACTTGTAAGCTCTTCTGTTCCAGATACAAACACGAAGGACATGTTTATGATTGTGTAAAACCAGTTGGTGTTTGAACATGAGTAATTAATGAAGCACTATAACTTTGCAATTAAGAATGAATTGTTTTCGTTGTTAACACATCTGTCTATAAGGAGGAAATGGTCGAGGTGAATGACTTACCTTGACAGACTGAGGATTATACGCGAATTCAGACTGCATTGTGTATGATTCTGGGCTATCTCTGTACACATGTTTATTGTTTAATGAGGAATTTATTGTCTCTCCAGATGTTCGTTTACTTTCTTGAAAATTCTGTAAAAAAATATTTGTGAAGATAATGTGTGTTTTCAATCATAAATGCAATTGGAAAACTTCTGATTAATCGTAGCTTACATAATGTCCATATACATTTATTGATAAACCAACTTCAATGGTTAAAACTTTGTCAACGGAAGTTAAAAATAATGTTTTCAACAGTATTTATAAAATGAAGAGGGAATACAAAGAGGTCAATCAAAACCATATGTCGAGAAAAGAACATCTATTGAATGTCTGACACATGTTTTTCACCAGAAAATAATGTCAGATGTAAATTCTGCGGAATATCAGACAACAAAACAATACACAAACATCTTATTACAAAATTATAATCCTGGTATCTATGATGAGTTTTATATTTGTTTCATTACACACCTCAAGTTCTGAATACTAAGTACATTACAAAGAGTCTTGAAATTTTGAAGTACAATGGCCATTATTCAACAATATTCGGTCAACCTGAACGAAATGCAATTAGATCTGTAATATTTTATCATACACTGATGTGCCGAAAATAAAATCAATATCTGAAGGTATAACGATAATCTGATAATAAGTCGCAAGAAGAGAAGATGACATTAAGTTGAATTAATTTCTTCAGTATGTCATTAAATCTAGATTGTAGAATACTTTTTAATGGTTAAAAAGTTCAAATATAGTCACCTTGCACGGGAAAATGGAATTAGATTTCATTTACCCGACATATTTTACTATCCATATCTCATTCACACCGCCAAACAATAATAAGATTCATAGTCATTCTGGATCCAGGTTTTGATCGCCGACAAAGAGATATCCGTTTTAAGCATATTCAACGAAATAACGTTGATCTTTGCTTTTTTGTAATGCTTTGGGACCTTTTTGATATTATCAATGCATGATATATTGATACTTAAACGTCTTTTTTAGGTAAACAAAATTAAGTAGTCTGAAACAAATATTTGATTCATATGATGAAGACGTAATCTTTCAATCGGTTTTATTGAAGTCTGGAGCAGGCATGTGCATAACTGCTAGTAGTCCTTGGTTAATTCATATTTATATTGTGATTTTGCTTAGTTTCTTCTGTTACCTATTCTAACATCGGCAACAGACTTCTTTTAAACTGATTTTTACAGTGTGTATTGCTGTGAGTTTGTTTATTCCATATTGGCTAGAGGTAAAGGGGAGGGTTGACATCTCACAAAGCATGTTTGTGCCTGTCTTAAGTCAGGAACCTGTAACCTTTGTTAGTCTTATGATTGTGGTTCATTTGTATGTTTCGGAGTTCAATGTGGTGTCAATTTCACTGAACTAATATACATTATTGTTTAGGGACCAGCTGAAGCCCGCCTGCTGGTGCGGGATTTTCTCGTTGCATAGAAGAACCTTAAGGCGTTTCTGCTCTTTGGAGGGGTTATTGTCTCTTAAGCACATTCCCAGTGTTTCCATTCTCTAATCTATTTACAAGTCAGCATAAAAGGAATATCCATTTAAGGTAATAATATAGAATAGCGTATTATTTGTAAACATCTGAATAATAACGTATCTTTCTACGGTTGATTTTATCAAGTAAATGAGCTCTTGTGTTCCTAATGCACTCGCGAAAATGAAGTTGTTGTTTGTGTAAAACCAGTATGTGTTTGAATCTGAGAAAATAATTAAGCACCTTTTCCTTGTAATGAATTATCAATTGTCGTCGTTGTTGGCACAGTGAATGGTGGAGGTGAATGACTAACCTTTACAGTCTGACGATTATTCACTAATCCAGAATGCATTGTGTTTGGACTCGCATTGGCTCTGTTTAATGAGGAATTCATCGACTCTCTCGATGTTCGTCTACTTTCTTGGAAATTCTATAAAAAAGAAAGTTTTCAATGGAATGTGTTTGTAAATTCGTAAAAGCAATTGAAAAACTTTTAACTTGTGATTGCTCGTAGCAAACATTATGCCCATACTTTAAAACCCGTGTATGTTTTGTTTTTGTATCAAAATGTTTAGGTTTGTTAAAACCCAACTTCAAACGTAATTGAAGATCCATGGTTTAAACTCACACACTTATAGTTAGCTTTTATTCTTTAGTTGGTGAACTTTTTGCGTTATAACCATTTAAATGTGCCTGACTGCTTCAATCATGTTGTTATACCATGGCCAAAAAGACGATGATGTACTGGTTAATGTCAGTCTGTCTGTACTTGCATACGTCGTTTATTTCGCAACAACTATCAATCAGAACTTCTTTATATTTAGGAAAGAGTTTATGCGTTTATGGAGATATTAAAACTTTGTTGTCAGTAATTTATTTATATTCTTTACTTAATTAAGTCTCCCAAAAGATACCAAAGCGTAATCAAACTCATAATCGAAAATAAACTGACAACCCAATGGCATAAAAAGAAAAAGACCAGAAGAGAAACAGCAATATACAAAACACAAGATAGAAAACTGAAAACTGAGCAACACAAACCCAACCAAAAACTGGAGGTGATCTCAGGTGCTCCGAAGAAAAAAAACAGATCCTGCTCCACATGTGGCTTCCGTCGTGTTGCTCATGTATGATACAGACACGATGATAAGTCTTTTTCGGTAGATCACAATCGAAAAGAAAGGAGGACGGGATTGTAGTTACGACTATAAGAAAATATCAGTCGTCATTTGTATGTCATAAAGTATCCCTTTGCAAAAGGAAATGTAAGATGAAATAGTTTTGCTTGAACACTAAGTTAACATTCTTTTTAATTCCACTTTTGTCAAACGTTCAATACAAAGTCTGAAAGTCGCAAAAACTTTATGAATAATCAGATAAATCACAATGTACATGTACAGCTAAATATTTACTCAAATAAGTTTACGAAAGGCATCGGAAATTGTTGACCTGCTAAAATGTGGCCTAAATTATCGCTTTGCAACACACATCTGGATTCAATTGTACTGGGATTATACAGGGTACAATATCAGCAATATCAACAAATTGAACGGAAAATTTTCCCCAAAAGGGTTATTATCAATTCAAAAGGAGAAGAAGACTATGATTCAAAATACATTTTATTTTTCAATATCTACAATTGTAACAATTCTAAAATTTCAGCTAGAATGGTGTTTCTGGTGAAATATTTATCTTAATCTTTTGCGAGTTTAACTGAATTCATTTTGGCGCAGAATTCATTTTTGATTTTGACCACAATGTTTTCCTACAAATGGATGATTTTTTTAAGTGCAGAAGAGTCATTTATATTCTGCTGTCTTTGTCAGGGATTATTCATATGCAGCTCTTACCTGGTCAGAACATTCATTCCCAAAATCTGCCCTTCCCCTCCACAAAACATAAATATAATGATTGTTCCCTTAGTATAAAGAAGTAAGAATAACGTATCACCATTTATATACACTTGAATAACAACTCGTTTTTCCGGATTCTATTTGGTCAAGAAATATAGTGGTATGCTCTTGTTTTCCTGATGTATGCCCGATGGTAATTTTGTTGTTTTTGTAAAACCAGTATGCGTTTGAATCTGAGAAAATAGTAAAGCATTTTTTCCTTGAAATAAATAATCAATTGTTTTCGTTGTTATCACAGTAGAAGGAAATGGTCGAGGTGAATAACTAACCTTATTCACTATTCCAGAATGCTTTGTGTTTGGACCCGCACTGGCGCTGTTTGATGAGGAATTCATTGACTCTCTGGACGTTCGTCTACTTCCTTGGAAATTCTGTAATAAAGATATTTGCTAATATGATGTGTTTTTAAAATCGTAAATGTTATGGAAAACCCTTTGCTTCTGGTTGCTCGTAGCATACATTATTTCCATATCTATAAAAAAAACCTTTGTATTTTGTATCAAAACCTTTATCGTAGAACGTATTAAAACATAGTAAAATTATTTCCATATTAAAAAAAAACAGTGTATTTTGTATCAACACTTTTATCTTAGAACTTATTAAAACATAGTAATCAATTTGTAAAAATCCAACGTTAATAGTTATTAAAGATCCATTGTATATAATTACAAACACTTTTATTTCACTTGCGTTTATCGGTAAACTTTTGCGACTATACCATTTCAATGTCCCGAACTGCGTCAATCATTTGATTATACCCTGGCTCAAAAGACTTTGGTGTACTGGTTAATGTCTGTAACGGCATCCGTCACGTGTTGAAAAGCAACTATAAATCAGAACTTCTTCACATTTAGGAAAGAGCTTTTTGCGTTCATAGAGATATTAAAGATTTATTTTCAGTAACCTATATGTATTCTATAGTTAAGTGAAAATCTCCTAGTTTTCGAAAAATCAGAGGGCGATTGAGAAAGCTTTGTTATTGTTCACTTTGAAGGCTAATATTTCATGGTCTACTGTTCCTGATGTATACACGATTGCGAAGTTGTTGATGGTGAAAAATCAGGATGTTTTTGAATCTAGTTGAAGCACTATTTCCTTGCAATGAATACTGTCATTCTTCATTGCTGCTACAGCAGGAGGAAATGATCGAGGTGAACGACTAACCTTAACAGACTGAGGATCATTCACTGATCCAGAATGCATTGTGTTTGGACCCGATCTGGCTCTGTTTAAAGAAGAAGTTATTGACTCTCTCGACGTTTGTCTAATTTCTTCTAAGTTCTGTAAAAAAAAATAGATCAATGAAATGTATTTTTAAAATCGTAAATGCAGTTGGAAAATTTCTAATCTCTGATTGCTTGTAGCATTCACTATTTTCATATTTCGAAAACTGTATTTCTATTAAAATGATCTTCCAAGAACGTATTAAAACACCCAATGAGTTGACTTAAATCCCAATTGCAATGGTTATCAAAGATCCACGGTTTAAATCTCAAACATATGTTTAGTTTTCTTGTGTTTACATGTGCCGAACTGCGTCAATCGTGTCATTATACTATAGATAAAAAGACGTAGGTGTACAGGCTAATGTCTATCCTGGCATCCGTCATGTCTTTATAAGCAAATATAAATCAGAACATCTTTATCAAGGAAAGAGTTTTACTATCAGTAATTAATTTGAATTCTTTACTTTATATCATATAAAGTTAGAATTTCTAGTTATCGAGAAATCAGATGGGCGCTTGACAAAGGATTTGATATTGTTCCCTTCGAAGACTAATATTTCATGGCCTACTTTTTTTCTAAATTTAATGAAGAAAATGTCTAGTAGAAATTGAAAGTTTGTAGCTGATGTCACCGACGATAATTTTTGTCAACAGAATGTACTGTCAAAGAGTAATGATATGACTGATCGAGGATTTGTTGCAACGGACAATAATGTAACAGAAGATTTTTTTTAGTATATCTCGGTAATTCTTAATTTTTACAGAAAATTTGAAGTTTGGTTACAGTTCTTTTTCATGTTATCATTCCTTATTGTTAAGTATTTCTCCGGAAAGGTAATGTGAGATGAGTAAATACAACTGTTTTTGCTTGCAAACGAAGAAAACAACTGGTTAAAGATCAGATAATCCACTGTGTACAGCTAAATATTTACTTAAATTAGTTTAAGACAAGCATTTGAAATTGTTGAAATGCCAAAATGTGATCTAAATTATCGTTTTGAAACGCACAGCTTACGGGTTCAATTGTATTGGGATTATACAGGGATTATACAGGGTAACATATCTCCAAAGTCAACAAATTGAATGGACATGTTCTCTCCAAAGGGTTATTATCATATCAAAAGTGTGCAGAAGACTATGATTCAAAATACATTTTTTACGTGATTTAGAAATGTACCAATTGTAAAATTTCAGCTAGGAGGTTTTTTCTGTTAACCTTAACTATTCAGTTTGGCGCAGTATTCATTTTTAAATGTTTTGAACCTCAGTAAGCACCTTTTCCTTGTAATGAATACTCAATTGTTTCGTTGTTTTTACAGGGAAATGGTTATGGTAAAAGACTAACCTTAACAGATATTCGCCAATATGATGCGTTTTTAAAATCGTAAATGTTATTGGAAAACTTTTTGCTTCTGATTGCTCGTAGCGTACATTACTGCGTTTTTAGTATCAAAATATTTATCTTACAACGTTTTGAAACATAGCAATGAATTTGTAAAAATCCAACTTTAATAGTTATTAAAGATCCATGGTGAATAATTTCAAAAACATTTAGGACACTTGCGTTTATTAGTAAACATTTGCGTTTTTACTATTTCAATGCGGCAAACTGCGTCAATCATTTTGTTATACCCTTGCACAAAAGACGTATGTTGTACTGGTTAATGTATGTCATGACATCCGTCATATGTTTATATTAAGCAACTATAAATCAGAACTCTTTTTTTATATTTAAGGAAGAGGTTTATGCGTTTATAGATATATTAAAAGATTTATTATCAGTAAATTATTTGGATTTCATACTTTATATCATCTAAAGTTCCGTGGGAATTTCTAGTTTTCGAGAAATCAAATGTGCGCTTGATAAAGCATTGCAATTGTTCAATTGGAAGACTTATAATGTCATGGTCTACTTTTCCCTTAATTTTAATGAAGAAATTGTATAGAAGAAAAAGAAAGCGAGTAGCTGATGTCATCAGCGATGTTGTTGTCAACAAAATGTACAGTGAATTGATGTAAAAGAACACCGATATGACTATACCAGGATTTGTTGCATCGTAGGATGATGTATCAAATGATCTATATTGTTTATCTCGATTATTCTTAATTCTAGGGAAAATTTGAAGATTAGTAGTTCTTTTTCATGTCATCATTTATTATTGTTTAAAGTATCAATCCGGAAAGGTAAATGTGAGATGAGTTAATACAACAGTTTTGCTTAAAAACGGAGTAAACAACATTTTAATGATAAGATCATCCACTATGTACAGCTAAATATTTACTTGATTTAGTTGAAGACAAGCATTTGAAATTGTTGACATGCCAAAATGTGGCATAAGGTATAGTTTTTAAATGTACAGCTTCCGGATTCAAATGTTTAGGGATTAAACAGAGTCACATATGTGCAATGTCCACAAAATGAATGGAGGGTTATTTTCAAATCATAAGGGTGGAGAAGACTATGATTCAACATGCATCTTTTTGCATGATCAAGAAATGTCACAATTCTAAAATTTCAGCTAGCAGGTTTTTTTCTGACGGAATATTATTTTTCCCTTTTGCGAGTTTAACTGAATTTATTTTGGCGCAGTATTCATTTTTGATTTTGAACACAATTTTTTTCCAGCTCATATTGAATTTCTTGTGGTGGAAGACACACTTATATCCTGCTGTCTTTTCCAAGATTATTCATATGCAGCTCTTACCTGGTCAGAACATTCATTCCCGAAATCTGCCTGCTCCCCTCCACTAACACATAAAATATAATGATTGTTCCCTTAGTATAAAATTATAGAATAGCGTATCATCATTTATATGCACTTGAATAAAAACTCATATTTCTGGTTTCTATTTGGTTAAGTAAATATAGTGGTTAGCTCTTGCGTTCCTGATGTATAAACGATGATGAGATTGTAGATTGTGTAAAACCAGTATGTGTTTGAATCTGAGAAAATAATTTATTAAGCACTTTTTCTTTGTAATGAATTATCAGTTAATTCGTTGTTGGCACAGTAGAAGAAAATGGTCCAGGTGAATGACTAACCTTAACAGACTGCGTCAATCATTTCGTTATACCCTGGCTAAAAAGACGTAGGTGTACTGGTTAATATCTTACCTCGCAATAAATCAAAACTTCTTTATATTTAGGAAAGTTTTTTATGCGTTTATACAGATATTAAAAAATTATTATCATTAAGTTATTTGTATTCTTTACTTTATATCATCTAGAATCACGTGGGAATTTTTAGTTTTCGAGAAATCAGATTGGCGCTTGATAAAGCATTTCAATTGTTCCCTTTAGAAATTATTAATTTCATGGTCTACTTTTCACCTAAGTTTTTTGAAGAAAATGTACATTAGAAATAGAAAGTGAGTAGCTGATTTGTTGCAACGTAAGCTTATGCATCAGATGATCTTTTTTCGTTTTTCTCGGTTTTTTCAAATTCTATGGAAAATTTGAAGTTTGGTAGTTCTTTTTCATGTGATCATTCAATATTGATTAAACTTAACTTTACAAGAATGATGTACGGAAGGTCCTTTTCAAGGATGTATAAAGTTACGATTGGAATCCTGCATGAAATAGCATTATATCTTAAAACAAAGGGTTCATAACCTAATTTTGAAAAAAGGTGTATGAAAGGTGCTCATCAAACTCCATTATTTATTTCGGTTTTGATGACAAAAACTACCATTGCAATTGTTGATAATGATTGAAAAGTTTTCCAAAAACATTTTTTTTTTCATTGGCCACAAAATATTTCAGAAAGTACTGCATGGACAATAAAACGACGCTTAAAACATCTTCATCAAGAGATAAACGTCGTTACAGATGGCCACAGATAGCTACCAATCAACCTGACAGGCCTTTGTGAACAAAACCTCCTAATTTATCTATCATATATTTCTTGAGGCTGTAGGGCAACTAATGACAGTGTTTGATGGTTGTGAAATATAATTTGTTGATGGTACCAAACAGAGTTGTGCTTCAATGCACAGATGTATATTGATCGATATCTAACATAGAATTCCGTTGAAACCGGTGATAAATCTATCTTGAACTTGCAGTGAGGCGCGAGTTTTTGCTCCATATTTGAGGAGCTTTTCTGTGACTTTGTGATTAAAGAAGAACAAAAACAATAGCTCTTTTTTGTCTTGTGTGCGAAACGATATTATGTCATGAAGTAGTAAACAATATCCGTCCACTTCTAATTGATATGGTGAATGTCTGCATCGTTTTCGATGATTTATGCCAAAAACTTAATCTGAAGTTTATAGTTTGTAAATAGTTATCTTATTTTGAGAAACCGACTGGTAAATTTGACAGAGGAACCATTCAGGCTTCTAGGAGTGTAAGCTTCAATCGTGTTTTTTTTTTTTTTTAAATTTAGTACATATTTCAGACTTCACATACTTTTGCATATTATCATTGTTTCAATTTCTCCAGATGTTAGACTGCTTAAAAAGAAAAAATAGTATACTAATGAGATGACACGGTACTTTTACTGAAAATATCATGTAAATGTTATGTTTATAGGCACCGATCATTTATGACAATAATTTGGACTAGTTCCTCCAATTGGTCATTAAGATTAGAATGTAGAATACTTGTATAAAGGGGAAAAATAGTTAAATATGGTAACTTTGCATGCGGAGACGGAATTAGATTGCATGTACTCAACATATCTTTTACTTGTTTTACTATTCATATCCGATTCACACCGCCTAGAAATAACAAATTTTACAGTAAATCTCGAGTCAGACTTTGATCGCCGACAAAACTAATATCCGTATTTAGCAGATTAAACGAAATAAAGTTGTGATTTCATATTTTGAAATAGTTTTCTTTTTTATTCAACAACATACTACACTACTGCTGTTAACAATTTACTTCACTAGTCCAGCATCTTGTGAAAGGTCCCCGTTTTTTTTTACCAGAAATCCAGGAGTACTCTCTGCTAAACACCATTATATTCGGTATTATAGATACAATAAATAAGCGTTGATTCTTGAAAAAGAAACCATGAGCCCGGAGGGCGAATGGTTTGTTTTTTCATG